GAGAGGGAGAGGGATGGGGAGGGGGAGGGAGGGTCAAAAACTACTGCGATCAGAATTGATAAAGATTCCCTCTTTTTTGAGGTTGACTTTGAATAGTTTCTCATTTCAAACCTTTTGATAAAAAACAACTGATTTTTGAGTTGTACCCAATAGGAAAAGTTTACAACAATGGGTCGTTAACTATTAGTTTAATATCAAGTTTTTGAAGCTGTACTGCTGTACTGAATGATTAAATCAAATTTGCAATCGTAGTATTGTAGAAATCAAGACGATCAGTCCCTCTGGACTCACYAAGTCTTCTTTGGCTCAGTATTCTGCCAACGAATGGTACGTAAACGTGACGTGGACTCCAAGTCAATCACAAGTCGATCCTGTCATATTCTGCTACACTGCTATTGATGCCCATGGGTAAGTTAAAGGAGAATAAAATGGGGGGAGGGGAGGATTATTGTTTATTTTTCTTAAAATCATGATTTCAAGCCTTATCTTCTATAAATTAAAGGCATGTATGCCGGTTCAATTTTAAGCTAATGGTTTTCATATTTCACTATACACCTTCCAAAATTACTTTGGATGATTTCAGGTTAACTGGAGAATTCAAAACAAATCACATTCTTTCTCAATGGAATACGCGCCATTTCTTTTTTCATTTTTATTTTCGTCAGCCTTGCATTCACTGATATATTTTTTTGAGAGTTTTCTATAGCCCTCTTGCAGCGTGTTCCCAATTCAATAATAGGGACCTTAAGCTGCAGGACGGCAACGATGACGACGACAGCAAACATACAATAGCACTAACTTGCACTATTCAATAGATACTCATGAAATGTCCTATTTTTACGTACTAAAGAGAACGGCTACGCCAAAAGCTTATCTTTGCTGATTTTCGTTATAAGTAAAGCGCTCCCAAAAGACGTAATTTCACTCTAAAACGGGGTGCTTATTGAGTAAAATACTAGGTAAACACGAATTAATAATACAATAGAAGGTTGAAGCGCTTCAATTTCGCCCACGTTRTCACCCACGTTGCCRTCCTGCAGCTTAAGGTCCCTAATATTTTAATCTTATGAGATTTGAAATTCATTGTTTTGTTTTGCGTTTTTTTCCCCTACAGGTTGTCATCTCCCCAAATCTGTATTACATTTTTAGCTGGAGGTAAAAACAAAAAACAAACCATGCAGTGTCCCTCTGTCAGTCACAGTTTTAGTTTAACGTACATTGTTCTTATAAAGATCCACTTCCTGAACCCTCACTTGCAAGCGGGCGGTACTTCATGCACGGTACTTGACTTGCATCAACTTAGTCGCTAGGGTTCAGTCAGCTGATAAAAGTCTTTGAATCTCACTGTCTGCTCGAAATGGTGGTCTAACGCTGATCGACATGCTGTCGACCAGAAAGAATATTATCGAAAAGCGTCATTGATTTGTTTCACTAACTTTAATAACCAAGGAAATATTTTTGCATTACAGTTGCACCTCCATATATGGTTGATGATTCACACTACCCAACAGGGTTAATTTATCCAGACCATTCAAAATGGGTTATGAGATTTGACAAAGAGGTAAGTGAGACTAAGGTAATTGTCCAGCAGCAATTGGTCCCAAATGAAAGGAACTG